GTGGCGCTTTTCCTCCCTCCCTCCCTCCCTCCCTCCCTCCTTCCCTCCCTTTCTCCCTCTCACGTGCTCTCTGGTTCTCCCCGCTCTCTCCAGGTGCATTTCCACAAATGGCCAAGCAAGTACGACGAGTGGATCCCTCTCCGAGCCAAACGCTTCGCGCCCCATAAATGCTTCACTGCCGTCACAAAGGTAGCCTCTCGCCCTCTCTTGTCCTCTTTCCAGTCCTGCTTTCTCGGATCTAGTGCCGCTTTTACCCCTCCTTCGTCTTGCTATCTCGGTCGGAGGATGACGTATCGCCTCCTAGGCAGCTTATGTCTCGTCTCTCTTCTGCCAATTCGCTTTCTCGTTCAATCTGTTCCCTCCTTCCAGTGTTTTCGCGGATGGGATCCGTCCATTTTCCTGTGTTGTCTCCGTTTCTCTCCGGCTCGGTAAATGCAGCCCTTCCAGAGGGCAACACTTTGTGCCCTCCGTCCTTTTTCCTCCCTCTTTGTCAAAATGACTTAAATCTTGACCCGAACCCTATCCCCTCCCCAAATTTCTAGGACTTCATTAAACGGAAGCGCGCGGAGAGGAGAGACGGGGAGGAAGACGAGGAGGAGGACGAGGAGGAGGACGAGGCACAGAAACAGCAAGAGGAGGAGGAGGAAAGGTGCGTCTGTGGGAAGGAAGTGGACAAGTGGAGCGCGTACAACCCTAGGGGGAAAGAATAGCAGTGCACTCATGATCTGCTTCCTTTTCCTCCCTCCTGCATCCCTCCCTCCCTTCCTCCCTCCCTTCCTCCTTCCCTTTCTCCCTACGGTACAGTGAAGAGGAGCCGGGTAGACGCCGGAAGCGCCGGTGTGTGAAACGGAAGGAAGAAGCAAAGGAGGAGTCTCTGAGAGCCAAGCAGGAACGCCGTGAGAAAAAGAGGGCGAGGGAATCATCGAAGAAAAATGATGAGGGACGGGCGGAAGAGCGTGGGGAGTGTGGGTGGGAGGGCAGGAGGGAGGGCGGGAAGGAGGGAGGGCTTGCGTCGGACGGCAATGGTTGGGGGACGAGTAACGGAGACGGGAGTAGGGAGGAGGACAAAAGACTGGACAAGAAGCAGGGAGAGGACTCGGTGGGAGTGGACGACGATGCCGAGTGAGCATCTGGCATGTCCAGAGAGGATGGATGAGGGAGGTCGTGCTGTTCTAAGGAAGGACGTAAGAGGGAAGAAAATTGGTAATATGGTGCTGGTGGTGAGATGATGATGGTGACAATAATTTGTATTGCTCCATTTTTATGATTAAAATGGCGTGGACTGCGACGTATCCGAGACTGATTGTTGTGCGCGATGGATGTTGTGATATTTTGAAGGGTACTGACGCCTTTCTGAGGGCCCTTCTCGAATGTATCGGTTTGAAAAGTAACCAAGAGAGGGTGCGTGGACCAGGCACTTGAAGCGAGAAGGAAAAAAGGGGAGGGCTGGATGGACGCGGAAGAGCCCCCGAAAGAAAATCCATAGCGAGTAAAAGCAAGTCGTGTCAACATACAATAAAGCCATACATGTGCAGAAGGACGATAGGGACCAGTACGTCTCCAATCCAGCCCCTGACTTGTAAAGTCAAGCCACACTGCCACTCAAAGTCTAAATTGAAGCAACCGTATCAACAGGATTGGCTCGCGTTGCGACGTTTGGAATCACGACAGTGTGCCTTTGGTTTTATATTTTTCTTTACTTTTTTGAACTCCACATCACGGCTAGGATAAAACATCTCTGTCTGTACAGAATCTTTTCTTCCACCCCTCCGTCCTGCCTGCCCTACCAGTCATCCTCCTCCTCCCTCTTTCTCCCTTCTACCACCTCTTCCATCAAGAAAGTGAAAGCCGCGTTCACCTTCTTGAACTCCTGGCTGCTTTTGGCGCGTTCTTCAGGGGATACTCTACCGGATCGGGGATGGAGTTGGAAAAAGGGAAGGGAGGGGGCGGGGTTCAGACATCCACAGACAGGACTTGAGGACGGAAATGCGAGCAACAAAATCAAACTGCATAAAGCCACGCAATATCTTCGACCAAATTGCAGTCGTTTCCTTTCCCGCTCTCATTCCCCCCCTTCCCTAAAACCCGCCCTCCCTCCGCACCTATCGGGATGGCATGCCAGGGCCTTCCTGCGGAAAGCCTCTTTCACCGTCTCCTCCTTCAACTCCTCCAAAGGGTTGCTTGAGAGCTCCAGCGTCTTCAGGGCTTCAACCCGCTGTTGGGAGAAAGTGGAAGGTGGGGGTGGGCGCTGGATGGCGAGTATATGTGAATCGGGAGGTCAGGAATGAGAGAATGATTGACAAGAGAGGGCAGTGCGGCAGGACCCCCTCTCACTCCCTCCCCCGAGCCCTCAATCCTCACCCGTGCCCCTGCTCGCCGTCGGAACCCCTTACGGCCCTCTTCTCCGAATTGAGCCCCGAAGAAATCCTCGGCAGAAAAGCCTTGCCACCTGATGAGGCAGGAAGGGAAAAGAGGAGGAGAGGGGTCAGGAAGAAAAGAACGGGACAAGGAGAAGAGGACGAGTATCAAATTAAAAGGGAAGATAGGGAGGGAGGGAGGCAGAGAGGAAGAGAGAAAGGGAGGGAGGGAGGGAGTCTCATACGTCTGCTCGTCCACTTTTTCGTGGTAGAAACGGTGAAGCTTCTCCCTCAACGCCTCTCGTTCTCGTTCCTCCACCCTGCCCGGGGGAAATAGCCAGAGAGATGGGGACAAGACGAGGAAAGAGGTAAGAGAGAAGGGATGTGGGGGACATGACAAGATTAAGAGGGGCGGACGGAGCAGTTGGGAGAGGGGAGGATGAATGTAGGGTACAACTGCTTCGACTGCCTTCTTCCTATCCGCACCAAAACAGGGGACGACAAAGACTTTCCATCCATTCCTCCTTCCTCCCGTCTCCCGTCGACTTCCCCCCTGCCCTTACATCCATGCGTAGATCCTTTCTGCCTGTTGCCTTTCCTCCTCGGCTGCGGCGGAGAAGTATGATTCCCATCGCGCCCGTTTAAACGCCGGGTCCCAGTACTCTGAGGAGGGTCCGAGGGAAAGGGGACAACGGGGGGGGGAACGAGAGGGAGAGAGGGAGGGAGGGGAGGGAATAGGAATAGGAGAAATAGTAAGCGCCAGGAGGAGACCCATTGCTGTCGTGTGACGCCGCAACACTGCTCTGAACCGACTCATTTAGGCAGCAGATACAAGCAATACGGTCTGCAAAACCTGTCCTCTTCCATTCTCTGCGCGCCGCGCTCTGCGGAAAATGTCCGACATTGACCGGACGAGCTAGGAGTTGACCTACAGGAGGATCGTCGATGAGGAGACCTACCTTTGTACATTTCCCTTTTCACAAAACTACTGTGCTTGTTCTCCGTAGGTACCGCCCAGCTCATGACTCGCCTCCCGTATCGGCGGGCCACCAAGACATTGCCAGCCACTGCGAGTACGACGCTCCCGAACACCAGCATGCCGCTGAGAGAAAGACCAGGAGGGGGGGAGAAAGGAGGGTGAAGAACACGATGAAGGGGTCAAGTAAAAAACACATCGCGACCAGAATAAAGCTACGGCATACAGCATGCTTGGAGTCATGCGCCTTCGAGGTTTTACTTGCCTCCGAGTGGACATGACGTGGCTTGCGCCCTCTGGTGGAGGGGGCTGATGCTCATAAGTTTCTCTATCAGGCAAGGAAGGGAAAGGAGGCGGAGGTGCCTTTACACTCCCCTCCATGCCTGTCAAAAAGAGTCAAGGATAACGTGGGGACGGGTCAAAATGTTGGAAGTCGGAAAGTAGGGGAGAGGGATGGTTATGACTCCATAGGAGCGGGGAGGTTAACGCTGTCTCAGGTCAACGTTGGAAGGAACTGCAACAATAGGCGGGGAACAACAAGTTCTTTCAAATCCATGTTATGCTCATCTTAGTAAGATATCTATCGTGAAGGTGAAGGAGGAGAAGAGAGAAACAATCGGTGTATGGGGTACTTTTCGAGGGCAGATTGGTTCTCATCGTGGGGAGGATCAGCAGTCTTATTAGCGAGTATTTTGAAGTCGTTCTGACTGACATCCGAAGGCATACCAACTTATCCAAACACGCTCTCGCACATTGTCATGCTTGCTTCTTTCTACGACAGGTGCTTGATCGGCATCATATCCACGCAAAAGGCATCCAATATGTCAGAATACGTGCCACCTCCACCCCTCCCATCGACGTCCTCTGCCACAAACCTCAGTCGTGCCTCCTCACACGCCTGTCGCGACGTCATACGTTTCCTCCGCTCTGCTTGCTCGCTCACCACCGAATATGCAGACACGCTCGCGTTATATTTAAAGGGCCGAGACCCATCTGACCCCGAACTTTTGACTCTACGGACCCTGCAAAACCGCCTCTCCCTCATCCTCCCCCCCCTCCCCCTGCCCTCAGCCCCTCACGAAACTGGAGACGAGATGGCCCGGCCTCCCATCGATCGCGTCCTGGGTGACGCCGATCTCCTTCAATTAATTTTCGCCCGGTTCGTGGACGGTAAATCCGCTGGGCTGACGTCCCGAAAATCGCTTGGGGTCTTAGGCTTGGTGTGCCGGTCGTGGCAGGCGGTGGCCTGGAGGGACGCGCTGTGGGAAGAAATCTGTCGGGAGACGCTCCCTTTGCTGGAGGTGGAGGAGGGAGGCGGACCGGAGGGCGGCAAACACATGCCGCAATGGTCTCGGCGGGAAATGATGAGGAAGCACGGGATGGCGCTGGCGGGGCCGGGGAGGCGGCTGCTCTCTGGACAGTGGGTGGACGAGGTTTTCGTGTGTTTCGAGATATTCGAGAAGGAGAGCGGGAGGAGGCTGTACGTGGGCTTGG